TATATATATATATATATATATATATATATATATATATGGGAAATGCTTACAAACGCCTATAGGTGAAGTTCTATAGCACTCCACCTGTAGCCTATCACCATCCAAAATCTATTACAAGGTCATGGCTGTTTGATATTGTTTGAATTTTAATAAATTTTGTATATATCAAATTTATCTGAATTCTTAGTCGTATTTACATCTAACAAAACTTGCACCAAAATAAAATATTAAAGAAATAATTGTCCAAAAATAAAATGAAAAAAATACTCATGAAATGTTTGTAGGGATATTTTGGTCAATTTTATAATTTGAATTATTTTTCTATATTTTATTCAGGTGTGCCTCATTGAGTTGCATACACCCACAAAATTTTAAGTTAATAAATGAATTTTATGCCTTTCTAAAACTATAAATTTCAGATCAAAATTTTATTTTAATAATTAATATTTATTACACGTGCAATGCATGTCTAAATTACTAGTTTTATGCAGGTGTTAAGTTGCATACACCTACAAAATTTTAAGTTAATAAGATTTTATAGAAGAATTATTAAAATTTAAATACAATCGGAAATAGTGACTGTGTAATAGATTTTGGACGGTGATGGGCTATAGGTGATGTACTGTATATGCCTTTCTAAGTCTTTTATATATTTGATAACATTCTCACCCCCGGTTATATCAAAAACCACTGAGAGGAGCACCAGAAAAAATTCGAACCTCTTGAAAATCAGTTTTCCTTAAGTTTGATTTGGTTTGGAGCTCCCAAACGCTTCCAAATCCCCTCGATCTATTGCCTATTGAAATGGACATCCCAGATTTCATTTTTAGAGTTGCACTTGGATTTGAGGAATTTTTGGATCTCTATATCCATTAATTTTCATGAAACTGGTTTTGTGTGAGAGAATATAATTTGGAAAAATTATTGGTCCCTCCCACAACTCAAAACTCAAAAGTGGTTTTTGAGGTACACTGGTGACCCGGGTGGAGACTAATAAAAAGGGTAATTAGATGAGCATAAGAAAAAGATCAATTCTTGTTTTTTTCAATGGAATTTTAGTTAGTTTACAATTTACATCTCATGTGTATTCCTCCCCCTTTTTCTCAATGGGATGAAATTAGCCCTTTTTCTCTGTGTAGCTTGAGGAATGATTTACATATACTGAAACTATTTTAAAGCTTTAGGAAGACCTGAATTAGAAGAAAGACTGAGGAAGATTTTAAATTTTCTATTGACATGAAGATAAACTCTATTAAATATCCAAAAAGGTAAAATATGTAAAGGATATTCTGATAAATGATTTTGGAATATTTGAATTAAAAGAAAGTAGAGTTAGAAAGAAATTAAATTAAACAAAATTTAATATGGAAATAGAAATTTTAAATGAAAACCCTGTAGCTGAATTATAATAGAAAGTCCAATTAAGGAGCACCAGATGCATACCAAAGACTTATGGATTTATTACTATAAATGGTACGGTGCTGGCACATGGTGTCATTGTCCAAGTGTCAGTATGTGTTGTTGCATCTTGCATGAGACATGCTAGGCATATTCCCTCCACTAAAATTCACTTTTTTGTAGTACTTCTGTTATGTAGGGGCGATTTGTACAAATTATCATGAAGGGATTGTTATTTGATGATCGAAATGTAGGGCACCAACTATTGATTTTCTTCCTACTGCTGTATTGTTGAATGCTTGTTTTTATGGTTTATTTTCATCATTATTCATTAGCAAATAGTAGAATAGTACCCCTCCAAAATGAATTGCAAGAAAGAAATAGAGTATGCCAAAAACTCTTGAAGGATTACATCATAAGAGGTGAATGTTAAGAAGTCGTATCTAGAGAGAGAGAGGCAAATCGAATTCGATGGATGGATCAGCTTCGCTGAAGTAGTTGTTCACCTTGAGAAGCCCAAAAAGTAAGAAGGTAAAATACTTAGATTTTTAGTAATCATTGGCATACAAATTGGGTATGTTTTGCTATATGTTATCAAAAGTGGAATTTAAATCCACAAGCCTCAGTGGTCACGAGTAGGTCTTGTAAGATTTTGGAATTTGATGTTACTTTGCCTTGGTGAACCAAATATGAGTAGTTTTACACTACATGACTGGTGAATTATTTTGGGTTCAATCCTTGAGCTTGAAACATTTACCGTTGTACTGCAAACATCTTCTCATCATGTTCTTTGCCCAAATTTGGAAGTCTTTAAAGATAAAGGCGGGCTTAGGAGTACAGAAATAGAGCTTCTTTCCATTATCTGAATCCATTGAACACCCAAATGAGCTAGACTATCTCCAGGTAGTTCCAAAAGTGCATTTTGAAAAGCAAGACTTGGAAACCTAGATCATCGTCATCAGCGCTTTTTCCAACTATTTGAGGTCAGCTAGAATCCCTGTCCGCCATTCTACTCTATCAAGGGCCATATCCTCAGTGAGGCCATCATTATTATAGTCTTTTCTTAATTAATTGGGTCGGCTACACAAATTCTGGTCTGCCCATTTTGCTCTATTAAAGGCCATACCTAGTGAGGCCATAGGTTTCCATATCTTTGAAAGAATGGTCTAATACGATAATTCTTTGTGAATTACATCAGGAGTCTCCCTCTATCATCCCCATAGACTTTATGGTCCAGCTGGTAGTTCCCGGGCTTCCATTCGAGTCAAATAAGTAGATGGTGTAGAATTGAGTTTTGAATCCTCTAAAATCCATTATCAATTCTCACAGGTGTTATATTTTTTTGAGTAATTGTCTTGTGGTGGGCCTCATCACCACCTCTGTTATGGTGGTGACCTCTCCTGCCCACCCTTGGATATGTGAAAACGGGAGATCCTCACCGTTAATTGATAGGTGGGTAGGCCCTGCCCACACTTGCCCAATGATCTGATGGTGGCTAGAAGCCTCATACCTATGACACAATGGAGCGAATCATCTCTTGAGTATGCCCTTCTTTGTGATAGTTTAATTGCCAGATGTTCTTTTTTCTGAAATGTGTTACATTGTTTACTTAGAGGGAAATATTTTGGTACAAAGTGAAACCCGTCAGTACAAAAGAGCTAACCATTTTATGCTGTAAAAGGACCCCTCACTGTTTTAAGAAATAAGGTACTCTTAGAGGTATTTTAAAAGGGTGCGGTTTGTATAGAGCTTAGGCTCTAAACAATCAAATTAGAGCCTGCCTTCAAATAGTGTCAAGAAATGAGGTTTCAATATTGGAGATCTTTTTGATAGCCTTAAAATATATTTTCATCTTTATTTATAAAGTTTAAGGCTTAAAAAATAATGTAAATCAGCAGATCTATGAAAACTTGAAAATCTTGAAAATTGACGGTCCAAAAATGTATTACAAAATACACTATTTCCAAAACTATGCACAATTATGAATATACAGAGCAATACGGATTTCTTTTGTGAAAGTGGCTGATACACTAATGAGTTATGATAAGTTGTTTGCCAAAACTTTTTCCTGTTCTTATAGGTGAAAGAAAAAAAATTGCATGGCACAAATGCAGTTTTAAAAAAAATATATTTGTTTGAAGCTATTAGTTTTGTCCAATTTCAAATATCATGGTACGGCTTGCACTCCAGTAGATCAGCAAATGAAGCTCCAAAACCTAAGATACATTGTTGTGACTCAAGGTCATATTAATTTGAAACCCAAGCCATGTTCCGAGTTTGGACACCTCCATGCAGTTTGTTATTGGTGCATATAACGAACTAGCAAATGTCATGGGTGTTGCGCGATGCTCTAAATCAGGAATTCGTGTTTAAGTTGTGTTTCTTTCATGTTTAATTTTATTTCATAAATTCCAATCATTTTTTTAATTTCGTTCTAATACATACTTATTTTATTGAGGAAAGAGTATCTTGTTATTTTGATTGGAATTATTTAAATTAACCCAATTGTCCATCTAGATTTTATTAGTTTTATCTTTTCTTTTTTGAATATGTAGTTTTATCTTTTCTTTTGAACTTCATTTTCCGGTTTGTTGAGCAGGTTTTAGTCCAAACATGGAGTAGCCTAAAAAAAATAAAGATGTGAACTCATAATTATTTTTTATTGGTTGTTTATTCATAATCGACAATAGTTCTTTAATAATAGGGAAATGAATCTGTAAATATTGTAGTGAAATAGTGTCAAGCCTTTAACACGTGCATTCACATACAAACACAACATTCCCTTTTAGTTCTACCTTGTTGGGTTTTCCAATCATGGTTGAATGGATTCTTACCTTAACATTGCAAATCAATTTGCATTAGATTATGTAGGAATTGTGTGCTAATTTTTTAGTGAATATGGGCATTAGTCAATCTTCTTCTTTTGTTAAGTCATTATAATTTCTCATTCTCATTTTTTTAATGTGAATTTACAGGCTAAAATAGGTATCAAGGCAAACTATGTTGACGGAAATCCTGAATATGACGAATATGTACCCATGGTGGACAAAGCTGTAGATGCTGGTTGGAAAAAGGAGGTTTCTTACCCAAAGTTAGCCATTCCCAAAGGTATACACTTCTGTTCCTTGTTTTTTTTATGTTTTCCTTGGTAATACAACAAATTTACAAAATCATAGTGATATAGAAACACCAAGGAAAATGTCATCGAAAGATACTATGTTTCAGTTTGGATCATGAGAACCATATAGGAACATACATGTTCTATCCTAAAGGACACTAAGCCTGGATACAAGTAATGGATGCGCCGCCTCGACTTTCCCTCGATCTTTTCTCCACCCAGGACCATGTACCATGCTTGGCATGTGTATAGCATTGGGTATTTGTATCCAACATCCACAGTCTATACTTATCCCCTAAAGCTGGACTTAACTCTTCCTCAAAAACAGGAGCGTCCAAAAAAGAATGCAACTCATCTCTCACGGGCATTCTGAACCAAAATACTCACTACCCAACCTTTTTCTTTGGACAAAAGACCTCTGCACAGATGGTATCTATAATACATTATTGAGGCAGAGTTAAGGGATGGACACGTGTCGCGAAAATAAGAAGGGAAACTAATTTTATAGAGGTTGTAGGAGACATTCTCACCTTTAAGGGAAGAGAGAAAAAAAAAGAGAGAAAAGAAGGAACGTAATTTTATAGAGGTTGTAAGAGACATTCCCACCTTTAAGGAAAGAGATTTTATGGAGGTTGTAGGACACATTCCCACTTTTAAGGGAAGAGGGAAGAGAGAAATAAGAAGGAACCTAATTTTATAGAGGTTGTAAGAGACATTTCTATTTTTAAGAGGAGAGAGAGTACACCTCTTTGTAGTATAGATGCTTTTTTATCCTAGAGAGATAGGAAGATAATAACTAGAGAGAGAAACTGTGTAGGGAAGAGAATTTTATTACCAATTAACAAATTTTTAGATTCTCCTTTTTCATTACCACTTCAATTGATTTTTGTTGGCCTGAAAGTTGTTTACAATGAATTGAACTTCTGTAATGTTTAAATACTAAAATTTGTTATTCTTAAGTCATAAAATATTGAATAAATTGTTTGATTTAGTACAAAAACAGCAAAGTTGTACTTCCAATTCCTTTTTTATTTCTAAACAATTGTATTTGTCCACTTTTCTTTGTAATTACAATTTTCAAATTATCGTGAAAATCATTTTGTGCTTTTATGCTTCTTAACTTATCTATTATAATTTTTATGTTTTACAAATAAATTATAAAATATTTAATTTAAGCTTATCTTTTTTAATCTTCTTAATTTTAAATTTGTAATGATGCATGCTAAAAAATAATATTTCTGAGTTTTTTAAAAAAATTATATTGTATTTTTAAATTTTGAAAATAATTATGTTGTCTTGACCATGGAAAATGGGAACCAACTCTTTTATTTTTAAAATAGCTTATGACTTAAACAGTTTACAGTTTTTTTAAAAAAGCTTATGACTAATTTTTAGTTTTTTAAAGAAATTTTAAAAATCATAAAAATAAATACAATTTTTTCACAATATATTATTTTTTTATCAGCACTTCTAAGTAAGGAAAATTTTTTATATAGAGCCGAGGCTCTAAACAATCATATTAGAGCCCACCTCAAAATTTTCACTAGAAGAGGTTGTTTTGATTCCCAAATACCTTCAAATTGATCATCTTGACATAAAAAAATGCATGGACATGCCAAAAAATAGATATCAAGTTTTGAAATAGTGCATCTTGTAACGCTTTTTTTTTTACTCTCAATTTTTCAAGATTTTTAAATTTTCATAGATTTGCTCTTACTACCTTATTTTTGAAGCTTTAAATTTTATGATTAAAGATGAAAGTATATTTTAAAGCTATCAGATTTCCAGTATTGAAACCATATTTCTCGACACTATTTGAAGGCTTTGATTGTTTAGAGCCTTGGCTATATACAAACTGCACCCTTTAAGTAAGGAAAAAATTTATATAGAGCCGAGGCTCTAAACAATCAAATTAGAGCCCACCTTAAAAATTTCACTAGAAGAGGTTGTTTTGATATCCAAATATCCTGACAAATCATCTCAACATCAAGATGCATGGACATGAGAAAAAAATAGATTTCAAGTTTTGGAAATAGTGAATCTTGTAACGCATTTTTGGACCATCAATTCAAGATTTTATAAGTTTTCATAGATCTGTTTGATCTACACTATTTTTTAAGTTTTAAATTTTATCATTAAAGATGAAAATATATTTGAAGGATTATCACAAAAATTTTCAGTATTGAAACCACATTTCTCGACACCATTTGAAGGTGCGCTTTATTTTGATTGTTTGGAGCCTTGGCTCTATACAAACCACACCCTTTAAGTAATAGCTTTAATTTCAATTTCTATAAAAGTAAGTTTGTTTTTGGATTTCTATGCTTTCTAAAATTACAGTAAAATTTAATTTTTATTATAAATTTTAAAGCATTTGAAATTAAATGCCTTCTTATATTATGATTCGATTATACTTTTTTTAGGCCTTTTACTATGGATATTAAAAAATTTAAGTAGTTTGTGATCCTCACAACTCTAAAATTTTGACATAATTCTATATAGGATGTAAAATAATGATATTTTTATTCCAACTACAATGAGATAAGTACATTAAATTTTTATAAGTAGGATGCACATTAGCATCCATCTCTCTCTCAAGGGTTGTCCTTTGCCCTTTGCATATGACATGCTATCCCTGCCAAGGATATTCAAAATTCCGAAAAATTTCAGAACATGTTTGTGAATCACGCATACATTTATTCCCAGTGTCATTCTTCTAAAATTTCTTTGAAGTGTCCAGGCATGCCACCTGAGTTTGATGAATGCAAGGCCCCAATGAGCATCAGCTCCCGTATGTTTGCGAGCATCATTGCTTTCCTCGTGACCCTATTTGCTCTCTTCTGCTCCTTCACACATGGGTTGCTGCTCTCAACCAAAGAGAAGCTGCCTCTGCCACTAGCACTGGAAGGTAGTGGCAGACCTGAACAACACGAGTACTATGATCCCGTGTTCAGTCCAGAGCCTGAGCCCACCACTGAGGAATTGAGGAGCCATCCGTCCCCTATGCCTGAGTTCACGCAGAGGGACCTTTTGTCCAATGTTCTAAAGAGGTTGGGAGAGTTGGAGGAGAAGGTGGACACTTTGAGGGACAAGCCATCTCAGATGCCCTGTGAGAAGGAGGAGCTCCTCAATGCTGCCGTCTGCCGTGTTGATGCATTGGAGGCTGAGCTCATTGCCACTAAGAAGGTAATGACTCTATCTCTCTCTCACTCTCTCTCTCAAAACTGAATTTATAGTGCCTGAACCCAAAATTTTACTTTTTGATGAGCAGGCATTGCATGAAGCTTTGATGAAACAAGAAGAGTTGCTTGCATACATCGATAGTCAACAAGAAGCTAAATTCCGGGTTAGTATATTGACATCCACGGTACATCTTTTGAGAGGTATACCTACTGTGCACATGCTGTGCATGGTAGAACCGTGCAAGGTTAGGCTGTCAACTGTTCATCCTCAGTGGTGGGTGGTGTAGATGAACCATGCACAGTCTTGTTGTATAATGAGCCTTTTTTCCTGAGAATGATTTGGGATTTTATTTTTTTCTTTTTGGAGCCTTCAAATAAGAAATTTCTGATTCCAACTTTGGTTTCTTTCTGCAGAAGAGGAGGTTCTGCTGGTGAGAGAATTGAGGTTGTTAATTCTGTTTCTATACCCCGACCAACTTTCACTTGTAATTTGTGCATCTTGGAAATAAATCAGTTTGAGAAATGTAATTTTTTACATAGAAATTTCAATGTGATTACTCACGGAAAAGGGATCTTCACAAAATTTGTGCTCGGTTTGTTACTCACATTTTTGCTTGTTCTTTTGGATTTGATGTGGAATATCAAAGATTTTATTTATTTGTTTATTTATATTGTGTGGGTTAGAGGGTTGCATGGAATTTTGGCTATGGCATTTGATTCAAAAAGGCCATGAATATATATAGGAAAATTGTTTTATGCGATCAACAAAGTTTAAATCATTCATCTTAAAGATGGAAAATTGTAGGTGTTCCATCTAAAAAAAATGGAAACTAATGGTCTGCATGCTATCTTACTAAAATTATTATTTCTAGGTTTCAAATTTTTTTATATTTATTTTATTCATGGTATCCTTAAAAAATAAATCTTAAAATCATCTCAAAAATAGATTTATTAAGAGGCCTACATTTCTAAGTTGGCACCAGTTCAATCGATTAATCATAATTTCTCCAAATGCATAATTGACAAATCGTTGCTCAGATCTAAAATGGCCAGTCCCGATAAAATACGGCGTATTTAGATGACATCCAAAAGAGAGCGAGAGATGTTGCCGCAATGTAAGGAGGTAATTTAAGAGTGGCAACGGGTTGGGCCTGGGCCAGCCATTCCTAGCCTTTACCCAGTCCTTGTCCCAGTAGGGGTGGGCCATCCCTAGCCCTTACCCAGGCGGCCAACCGGTCCATTACCAGCAGTAATTATTAGGAAAGATAAGTCAAGTAGCTGGCCCAGGCTACTTTCCAGAAGGTGCTAGTTCTAATTTCCAGAAGGATCACTTTTGGTAAAGTTAATGAAAACTGGTAGGAGCCCCCCTAAAAAAAGGGGATGAATTGTGAGAGGGATTTGTACGTGCAAGAAATGTGTGGGGAGTTTGGGCGCGTGAGGGGGTGGGGGAAGGTGGTGGTAGTGAGAGAGAGAGGGTATTGGCGGAAACACAATGCAATCAAAAGATTTGGCGAAAACAATCCATGTCTCTCTAAACCCACATGAACACACCACATAACAATAAAATAGCTTGACAACATAAAAGAAAAGAGGAAGAAGTTAATTTCAATGAAGATCTTTGATTAATTACAATGTTACAAAGAGGGTCGCCAGCATCATGACTGGGACAAGCTTTATTTCCAAGCCTGTTTTTAAGCTTCTGTTGTCCCACTATTCACCAGCAAAACGGGTTCTGCAAAATTGCAAATAGTTAAAAAGAATCAAATTTCAAATATAAATAAATAATGAACTACTGTTCACGGGTTGTCATTGTTCCCAACTGTCGCACAGCCTAAAACATAACAAATTAATATGAACTCAGGATGCAAGACGAGCGTGCTTTACTAAATCATCTTGAAACCAGTTAAAGAATCCTATTCCTAAATGTGAAGTGAGGTAAATTCCATGGAGTGAAAATGTCCAATAGAAAATCAGCCTTCACCTTTTGGAGAAGGGAAAACCCAAGATGGATACTTGGTATTGATAGCTAAGTAGTTCTACATAACTTCCGAAGTTTAGTTTTAGAGACTTTATCAGAGTGCTTGCTAACTCATAAATATTCAAAACAACCTTCCCAAATCATCGGGTGGTCTTTCGAAAACATACCCTGAGCTTCTTCTTCTTCTTCTTCTCAAGGTATGCAAGCAGCTCTTCCTGGCGCACCAGAGAATCATGTAGGGCCTGTACAGCAATAGATGTACTCACCAGAATAAGAAAATCAATCTTCGCTCACCAAAAAGGTCAAAATAATAAGAGGGGGGAGGAGAAAAGGAGGGGTGGGGGAGGGGGATGTAAAAGAGAAATGCTCCAAAAACCAAACAATTATGTAGGTCTCAAAAGAATTTCAAGTACAACCAGCAAAGTAACACATAATTTAGTGAGGGAACAGGTTAGCCAATGTACATGGGATCATATCCAGTGGCCACAAAGGGCACTCTTCAAAGATAATCAGCAGGAAATGTCCCATTGTAGATTTGCATTCCCACTCTGGACTGACTCACATGATCCTGTTGTTTCATTTGCTTTTTATAGTATTATTAGACTAAATTAGATTATACCCAGCTGGAGACATATACCCAATATTAATTAGAATTCGATGAACTCAATAGAAGGAATGATGGGGTTAGCATAGAACTTCCAATTAATGTCCAGTTTTAGAAAAGCCTCATATAAGAGCCAATTACAACATTTTACAAGGGAACTCTTCAAAGATAATCAACAGGAAATGTCCCATTGTAGATTTGCATTCCCAGTATAGCACAACTCGTATGGTTATCTTGTTTCCTTTGATTTTTATGTTTTCACTAGACAAACAATAGAGCTGGGACATACGCCACTATTATTTGATAAACACAATATCGGGAAAGACTGAGTTAGCATAGAACCTCCAATTAATTTCCAGTTTCAGAAAAGCTACTTCTATGAGCCTATTACTACTACATTTTACGTTGTGTATGTGTGACATAAAATCCTGCGACAGTGATTGGGTAAAAGGACCAGCATAGTTGGAATAGGCAAGGAAAACATTTGTAACATAACCATTGATATGCAGGGCCGACAAAAGTTCTGCAATTTTCATTTTTAAACTACTTGCATTTTCGGGTTCTCTTTTGCAAAAAGTGGCATTTCATTACTTTCCCGAAGAAAGAAACAGAATTTCAATATTGAGAATCTTGTCATTTTTGTTTGTACTTCATAATAATTAAAACTAATATGTAGGGTATTCAATTATCCAAAGTGATATTGCATAGTTGATGATCTTAATTATTTCTTTTCCTAATGTAATATTGTGCAATTTATTATTATCTTTTGCTAGTAATAGTTAAAAGAATGAGTTCATATCAGTATCAAACAAAATATACCAAGCATTCAGAGATCTTAATCATTCACCTTCTTGGTAGCCATGAGCTCTGCCTCAAGAGCATCCACACGACTAATAGCCGCATTTAGCTGTTCCTCCTTCTCAGGGGGCATCTCCAAGGGTTTTGAGCTCAGAGTGATCACCTTCTCCTCCAAATCACTAAGGCGCTTTGCTACCAATGCATAGTCTCCTCCCTCAAAAGTAGAGATCGCCATAGGCAAGCCACAATGGAGCGGATCTTTGACCATGGCACTGCCAATGCAATGGACAGGGCTGTCAGTGAAATAGAGGGATGGATCCATAATTTTCTTTGGCATGTTACGAGATACACGGAAGATAGCAACAATGCCCATGAGGAGTGCCATGAATCCAGAGAAGACGCCCAACCCTTCGGAAGCCTTGTAAGCCCCAGTTAGTGAGAGTATCCCTGAAAAAAAAGAGTTGCACACACATTATCAAAAAAAAAAATCCAATGGATAAGCACATGAACAAAGTATGAATCCTTTGTTTTGCACATAATTCATCTAGTAGTTCAGTTTATTAATTTTAAATTGATTGTTTCAGAAGGCACTATGGGTGACTTGGTATATCTTCACCTTGCCACTGCACATGACATGGCATGCCTAGTAATTTCAACAATATCACGTAAAACACAGCATGGCATACCTTTCGAGACTAAAAGTTTTTCGTCTTGTGCAAGTGCAACATTCTTCCAAGTAGCGTCAACAGCCTTATCAACCATTGGAATGTAATCATCATAATCATAGGGGCTAGGGAAGTTTCCTCTCCCAATTTGAGCCTGTTTGTCCCAAATTAAATGTCAGAAAATAGACGGGACAGAGAGAGAGAGAGAGGCTAAATTAGTATCACCAATGGGAAAAGATCATGTGAGTCTCCCTGAACATCTTTAGAATTTCTCTCTAATTTAGAAGTTTATATATAATGTCACAAGATGTGATATCAAGAGGATCATGGGAAAAATCTGCATCTGTTGAGACTAAGAAGGTATGAAAACCTGCCTCTTCATGAACAGGTGACAGCTGTGGGTGCTCAATAAAGTCCCTTGGATTTATCGGAGGCCTCATGTCTTCTGCTTCCAATACAGACTCTGGAGAGCAGACATCTCCACCCTTTCAAGTACAATAAATATTAGTAAGCGTGCTCGAGAAGATTATTTGGAATTCACAAAAATGCCCCCCACCCCCTGCTCTCTCTCTCTCTCTCTCTCTCTCTCTCTCTCCAGTGTCCATGTAAGCAAAAGCAAGATATTTGAAAGAAAGATAATCAAACCTTTGGATACTCTACGTCAGTATGAGAAATAGTCTTCTCTTCAGTGCCCGAAAAGGTGACAATTTTCCTGGAGCACTTTGCCTCACCATTGTGGACCATCTGTCCAATGGAGTAATGGGTACAAATTATTCTATTTGTTAGCATAAGTCACATAAAAGGTATGCATTAGGAAAGATGTGATAATAAAAGGGAAATCAAATGACCTTCAATATTTCAGGATCTTGCCATGGACCCTTGTCTGATCTAAGACAACCTCCGTGATCAGCACAAGTACAGCTACCACCCAGGAATTCCGGCAATTCACTGAAAAGACCAATAAAATCAGGAAATCTACCAGAAGGCTTGAGGAGATTTTAGAAAGAAGGGTTAAAATCTCATGGAACTTGGCTAGGAATGACCAAAAGTTACACAAATAAGGAAGTTCCACACATGCTGAATTGATAACAGCATGATTCACTCTATAACTTAAACAAATAATTGTGCAGCCACTGACACATAGAGGAATCTCTAGATCTACTCTACTGTTTCAAAAAAAGAAGGTTACTTGGGTAACATTTCCAATTATCCTCACTGGGATTAAGTTAATATTGTACCTGGCATCGATTACCTCAAGCAACTTGCTCTGATATTTATTTCCAAGAACCTGAGAGATAAAATACAGGGAGAAAGAGTCATTTTTCTCTAGCAATAAAAAATGAACTCCTAAGAAATGATAAAATTAATAACTTTCATGCATACATGAATCTTTGCGGTAGTTTTAGGATCAAGGAAAGTCTTTATAGTGTTCCACAGCAGTCTAAAACCAGCACCAGCATTAATGATGAACATGCGGCACAAGGTCTGCAATACACCAAACAAACCAAACATAATCTCTGTAGCCTATCTTACCAATAAATTTAAGCATAAACATGTATTTATTTGTGAAGAAGAATGTACTTCAGGATAGTTATCTCCATCAATCTTCTGGAGCCGCACAATGAGGTCCCTTGCAGCCTTGTTAAAGTTTTTCAAACCCTGAAACAAAAGGAGACAATTTAAGCAATCAAAAGAAAAAGACCCAAATTACAATCAATTAATTTTAAAGAAAAAGAAAAATTCAAAAACCCCATTTAAGTCCACATACCACGCCCTGGACATCCAAAATGGTGGTGCTCGAGTCAATGTGCTTCTTGGCAGCAATAGAACAAGCTGGGAACTTGATGGCAAAGGTCTTCTCAAACTCCTGCACATGGTATTTCACATACCGCTCCAGGGTTGTGGCTTCCATTAGTTTGTTGGGGTCAACCTTGCCTAGTCTCTCTATATAAACAGGTCTCCCATCTTTGTCTACCCCATGATGTCCTTGCGGGTAGTGTTGCAATACTTCATCGATTTCTTTAAACTCGAAATCCTATTAAAAGAATACAGAGACAACCAATTATCTAGTATAAAAGGCAAGATATAAGTTAGTATATTCCACTCAAACCAAAGATGCAACACAAATTAACACCGCATGAGCAAAATATTTAACCCAATTTGGTTACGCTACTTGATATATAAGGGTCTCAAATTGAATGTAGAATGTTATATTTAATGAAATAGGAGAGAAATAAAATCACAGATGTTTATTATACATCTTCTTGTGACACAAATGAGATCAGTTAATATATCATATTTCGCAAAATCATGGGTAACATATGTTGCACTAACTCTTAGCATGGTGTCAAAGGGTACATGTGTATCCAAAATTAGATAGTCACAGCACAGTCTCACATCAAGAGTGTCAAAGGGTACATGTGTATCAAAAATTTGATAGTCATAGCACAGTCTCATATCAATTAAACAGTTTCAAGCTATCGTATTTAAGCAGCCAACATATTGCAACCCAAAAATGCATATAACTAGCATAAACTAAATGAAAAGGTCATAGCATAAACCAAGAGAGGTCGAAACCAAGGTGGAAGCCAAACATAATCAATGAAAAAAATAACAATCCATGAGAAATTGGAAATGCACAAGGGCATATAGCATAACAGATTATTCAATACATTACCTCCATAATTGTGTCTGCACCGAATTCCTTCCTCCATTGGAGCATATCAGCCCACATCTGCTTTGCTTTCTCAATATCAAATTTCCTTGCTTTCAAGAATCTGCATCATATAAGCAACAACATTTTACAATGCAATAAACCCTAAGTACACATGGTTACTAAAAACAAAACATACATAAAAATGAAGTCAAAGATGAATGTTGATGCAAGGACGGCACAAGTAGAAGCATGTGCGTACACATGCAAGTACATGCACGTATGCCAGGTAGATAGATACATACCCATGTTACAAAGCATAATGTAGAGTGTAGCAGAAAGGATAGGATCCTGTTTATAGCAAGGATCATAAATTGAATATATTAGCCATTATTTTTCTTGTCTTTGGGCTTTGTATTTATTCCTTTTTTTTTTCCTAGGCCCTCTTGGGGTTTATGATAAAAGGTTTGTTATTCAAAAAATTACAAGTCTCTAAATTGTTGATTTCTTCCAACAAACGCTTGGATTAACTTCAAAGCTTGACACTCTCCAAATAACTAAGGAACATATCACTATCATATGTTCAAGGGTGAAGATGAATTTCCATTGCATGCAAGATCCCATAAAAGCAAAAATTGTGCATGCATGCTGCTTTTATTCACTTATTTTGCAACTAATAAGAATAAATAGGTTTGAAGGAGTTACATAGACTAAAGTGATCATTATGAGAAAAAAACATTCAAATAGGATGCCAGCGGCTAAGAGAACAATAAACAGCATAATACAAAATTTTCAGACAGGAACTAATATAGAGTTGGATTGAGTGCTCGAATTGAATTTGGGGATGTGTTGGTCTAGAGGACCTTTTTATCAGAAATTTCAGGAGTTGTTTAGAATAGAAATGATAGGATTCCCTATTTCATGTCCTTTTGCACTCAGAGAAACTGGTTGGCAGGAAAGAGGGGGTGGCTGGTGAAAGTGGTTGGTGGATGGAAAGGCTGTAAAGTGGTCGTTCTATCTGCACTCCAAGAAGGTAGTGGATAGAATGGTTTGAGATGGAGTCAGAGCTTCAAGGTATATTCCCTTTTGAGATCATATCCTTGAGATGAGTCCTGTGTTAAAGTGGCAAGAAATGTTGAAAAACTCAGATTAGGCCACCTAGGCAGCCGAGTGTCCAGGCCGCCTAAGCTGGGCAGAAGCCTAGTTCCATAGGCTGCCCATCCAGGAAAGTGGGATTCTAGGCCCCATAAATGGTGTTTGCGGGGCTGGGTTGGAAACCAAATCCCCCAAATTGATCTTAACACGTCAGAAACCATTTTTCAGAAATCCAAATAGAAAACAATGTCTTAAGTCCTTGATTTGAATCATTAGTTGCCAAACCTTGAGAAAAAATAATAAAACACAAAGTAAAAAATTTCAATAAAGAGACAAATTTAAGACCACTAAATTAGAAAAAAAAAATCCATTTGGAAGGTATAAAGGCAACAATGGTGAATACTCAATGTATGCAAAACACCAGAGCAAGGATATTCTCTGTCTTCTTTCTTAATTGAGGGATTAGAAAGGGTGGATGCTTGAACTCAGAAAAGCCCCTAAAACCATATCAGTGCTGTGCACTTTCCGGAAAGAGTATATTTGGAATAACTACAAGAATGAAATCCTCCATCCCAAAATACACACAAATACAAGGGTCATGTCCATTAACAAATGACATTTACGAATATGGCCTTTAGGAAAATGGGCTAGCAAAAAAACCTATCAGGAAGCCAATGAAGAACTAAATAATGCTTGTCAGCTATGTACTCCAGACCACCATGATCAGCTCCATTGCAATTGCACCACCCACTAAAATAGTTGAAATAAATACGAAGAAGATAGAACACAAGAGGAAAAGGAAGAATCTTACAAATATCATGGAAGCAAGAGAAGAAACAAACTTACCTCAGCATCATATGATAGTCATCATGCCTCGAAGGAAGTAATTCCTCCAAAATAAGAGCTTGACGAAAGGCATCAACAGCCTGTAACTCCTCAGCATCACGAACGTCTTCAATAGCGACAGATATAACTCTGCTCTCACTCCTACGCCTGCTCCTCTTTGTCAATGAATGTCTGAATTTTGTAGATGCACTGATTGCTTTCTTTTTAAGAGACCCAATTCTGGTCCTTCTCTCATCTTCTGAGTTCTCGACATCTGATCGTCTTTCTCTTCTCTCATCATTAAGAGAAGAAGCCTCAAGACCTGTATCAATACCAATGCAATATAGCATCTGACCATTCTTCCGAAAGAGTATAGCAAAGAACATATCTCTTAGTAAGATTAAACAATTTGACCCAAGCTAACATTCAATGAACTTACAAAAACATATCCTTGTCCCTCAAAAGTAAACAAAGTCTGACAGTTTTCAAATTAACCATCTGACTAAAAGAAATTCCAGATAAACTTAATTATTGCTATAATTAAAACAATCAATAATCATCCACATGAACAGGTTAATTTTGATTATACCATCAATAAAAGTCCTAGTTAATGCATTTCTTCCTCTCTTTCTCTAAGATCAATGGCACTAACATGGGTAATCATCAATTCATAGAGAAGGAAAAATTCAATAATTAAACTACGGGGTGGAAAGCAATCATTTGAGGCAGCCAACTTGCATACCTATACCACAGCAAGTTTCTCATTTTCTTTTAATTAGGAGTAATTTGAGGATTGAAATTCAAGCAAATTTTCCTCACTTCCATCACAAAGTTTGACATATTTATGTCCTTTATTATTAATATGTTTTTAATACAAATGTGTTCTCAAACTTGCTTGTTGATTCCATATACATGAACCTTCTCATCCAAAACAAAGAACACAATCTTCTCAAAAGATATGAGATAGTTTGACACCTTAGATGAGAAAAACTCCTGCAAACTCACAAGAACTTAAATAAATATATTTGGAGAAAAAGCCATTATAAGTTGTACCACTGATCATTTCCTGCAGGCTATTGGTTTTCTTATCATAAGCATTTAAATTTGCAATCATATTTCAAGTCCATCATATTTAAATGATATTTAAATGCATAAAAGAGAATTTAGAACTTTCAAAATAAAAACATGATGATCTCATTGAAAAATCAAATTGAATGGTTAAAAAAGGAAAAGCATTTTTACATTCTTTTCTTTTTTTTTTGTTTATACAAATGACATTTTGACTACATTGGACATAGAGTATTTAGTAGAGTCCTTTCAGAATGCATTTATGAATATCTCAAGTTTTTTAAACTCCCCAGCAAAAACAAATAAGAAAGGGAAAAGCATATCAAAGGAGGTCAACTGACTTTGGTCATGATGTTTTCATATGCTCGTATTCTAGTTTCAATTGAAAAGTAAATTCATCACCCTTTAGTCATGATAAATAGAAGTATTCTCCCTATCATATATAACAATATTCAGGTAACAATAAATGGACATCCATTGAATGAAGCAAATAACCTTACCAGGTCTTGCTAATTTATCAAGAGGTCCAGACAACAGGATTTCACTCATGATGTGTTCGACAGAGCTCGCTCTTGAAATACAACAAGGGGCAGGAGTCTTATGAACTCATCAATGACAAAAGCAAACCCTTCAAACACCTGCATATCAATTAAGGGTCACATCTGGGAAAACTATAAACCCACTTATAAACTAAGAACCAAAAAAAAACAAAAGAGAGAGAGAAACACACCCATGAATGTAAAATGCTCATTTATATGCTATCTTCACAGATATTAACTGATTAAAAGGTCACTCATGCAATTAACCCATTTAAAATAAATGAACTTGTCAACTAGTTGCAATTAGGCATGATTCACAATAATTAATATTTCAACCACATAGAATGAAAGTTTACACTTTAAGAGACGATTTTACAAAGGGTGTGGTTTGTAGAAGGCCGAGGCTCTAAACAATCAAATTAGACCCCACCTTCAAATAGTGTCGAGAAATGTGGTTTCAATATTGGAAATCTTTGTGATAGCCTTAAAATATATTTTCATATTGAATTATAAAATTTGAAGCTTCAAAATAGTGTAGATCGAGCAGATCTATGAAAACTTGAAAATTGACGGTCCAAAAATGCGTTACAAGATACATGATTTCCAAAACTTGAAATCCATTTTTTTCTCATGTCCATGCATTTTGATGTCGAGATGATCAATTTGAGGATATTCAAGCATCAAAACAACTTCTTCTAGTGAAATTTTTGAGGTAGGCTCTAATTTGATTGTTTAGAGCCTCGGCTCTATGTAAGCTTTTTCCTTTTATAAAATACCTACCGTAAGATCTATTTTATATTGTGATTTATTGGATATCAATCCTCTTTTCTTAGATGAGATGTCCCACCGCAAGGTGGAGAACTTGCTTTTAAAAATATTTTACGATCTTTGACTAAGTAAATACCCATACTAGATATATCATGTTAATCACTTCTTGCTAACATAATTCACTAATAAAAAATTGAATATTTCCTCTCATGTAGTGTCCCCAAATGATATATTAACTCTTAGATCTCACCTATTAAGTTCAAATTCCAAGTGGGACAATCCAATACGCATGTAAAAAAGATCTAGAAATTATGCTCGTGCATAGTTGCTATTGTGCATCAATGCATTCCAAAAAGAGAAAATCCAATACAAATGGAACATAAACCATGTTGGCAGCCAAGAAAATGCAGATAATGAAAATTTTCCAAATAATAGCAATGTAAAAAGATTTAATTATCACAAATATCCAATATATATCTAAATAATAAAGAACATGTACTATAATTAATATGCTTTGAATAAAATCATCATTGTTAAAGCCTTCTCTCAACTAATTGGTGTCAGCTACATGAATCCTGGTCCGCTATTCTGCTCTACATGTCACTTACGAGGAACACCCTAACGTAAGCACATATTGCATATTCCGGATTCAAATAACTAACATAAAAGACAACCAATGAATCCAATATAAAATGATGTAAAAAAACAAAAAATCCAATATAAACCATCAAGACTATAAGTAACTAACACTTAAATAAAAAAGACATATTAGTTGTCACTTCACTATCAATAAAGCAACATAAAAGCATAACCAGAACTGAAGCAAACCCAGTTACATCTTAACCAATGCTACCAATGGATATGAGGCATGATGGGTGGTTAAGATGCAGCAGTTGGAAAAATTTTTGGGTGCATCCTGCTCATAAAATACAGCCTACAATTTATCCATACAAAAGAGTTACATTGAGTAATCCAAACTTCATCCAATTCTCTATGAAATCTCATTAAATCATTTCTTGATTCCATATAATTAATAATCTAATATCCGATCCTCAACAACAACAACAACAACAACAACAACAACAACAACAACAACAACAACAACAACAACAACAACAACAATAATAATAATAATAATAACAACAATAGAAATAATAATAAGAGAGCGGTTTATAAAAGGTGTACACCTTCAATAATCAATGTAAGGCATACCTTAAAACTTTACCACAAGATTCAACTTTTGGTGCCAAAAACCTGACAATGCCCTGAGAATCTATTTCTATGCCTAATTATAAAATTTAAAGTTCCAAAAATGGTGTAGATCAAGCAGACCTATAAACATTTGAAAATCTTGAAAATGGACGGTTCAAATAATGTGCTTCAAGATGCACCACTTTTAGGACTTGAAAGCCCTTTTTTCATATCGAAACATCTCAAGGTTGAGATGATCAATTTGAGGGTTTTCCAGTGTCGGAGCAACCTTTCCAACATGTTCTGCGGTGCACCTTACTTCTCAAGAATAAGGCCAACACCTTATATAAACTTTTTCCTAATAATAACATGGAGAATAAAGACAATTATATTTAGATGCACAAAAGTAATGATCGATAATGATCAGGGAGAACTTTGCAAAGTCTCTAAATCATATTGTATACTGTGTATGATGCCAAAAGAACAAAACATTCCTAGTCAATTTCAGAAAGTTCAATGATAAAACCAAAAATTAGAAACCTGCAAACAAAGAATTGAAAATTGAGATGGGTCTATGGTTCTAATAAATTGAGCAAGCTAACGCAACAAATTTCAATTTCCGGAAAAATATAAGAAAAATGATTAAAGTGTTATACAAAAGGCTAAGAATTCGATTCCGAAGTCTAAGCATCGAGAGGATGGAACCTGCGTGCCATTGGGCCCCAACACTCAAACGTATGCAAATTTATTCCACATTTTCACAAACAAATGCAAATGCAAGGAGAAGCCCAATATACGAAATTCGTGTCCCATAAAACACAAAACAATATAAGAGCAATCCTTACTCTTTAGAGGTAGTTCAGAATTAAGATTCAAATAACAAGTAACACTTACATAAAGGAAAAACAAACAAAATTCACGATATATGCTGTTTTCATGATTCAGAGTACTCATATTAGTATCAATCCCGAATAAGAGATGAATAACATGAAATTCACAAGTAGGAAAATCATGAAAAATAATAGAGAGAGAGGGAGAAATCATTCACAAGAAATAGATAAATAACATTACAATTCACAATTAAAAAGAATAAGGTTCATAGGAGCTACAGATGGATAGGGGCAGAAGATCGTTCAAAATTCAAATGATGAATTAAAATTCACAGATGAATTAAAATTCACAGATGAATTACATGTAATTGCATGCCAAAAAGATTGCAGAGATAGAGAGAGAAAGGGAGAGAGAGGGAGGGAGGGAGGGAGGGAGGGAGGGAGGGAGAGGAATACCTCAGAGAGAAATGAGGGAGATGGAAGGCCAATTGTGTGTAAATAACAATAATAACAAAAAGCAATAAGGGTGTAAATTGGGGCCATGAGAGAGAGAGGTTCTTCGTTTTGCAACGGCCCTAAGGCCACGGACAGTGAGGCTTCCACGATGGTGGAAACTGTTGACGCAGTCTCCGTACTAATCGCCATCGCCTCTTTCTCTCTACAGTTTTCTTACAAAGCTCGAAATCCTAGCTACCTGTTATTAGCACATGCATACGAAATGCCCGTCACTCCATCCAATACAAAAAACGGTCACATACCTGAGATACACATTGTTTCATGCGGGGCGTCATTTCTACAATATGCGGTCCAGAGGTATAAATGTCTACCTTACAGACATGCGGTCCAGAGGTATAAATGTCTACCTTACCGACATGTAAATAGGTCGTCTGTCTAAAAAGAATTATAATTAACCATCTAAATGTTTTTTTTAATATAATAATTATTTTTAGTTTTAAAATTTTTTTTTTTTTATATTCATGATATTCATGTTAAAAATGAGTATATTATCTAAAAATTAAAATCAAATTATATTTAAAATAGATATTTGGCCACATGCTAACAGCGTTCATAAACTAATAATAAAATACAATAGAAACTTAAAAAACGCCCTCCTTTAGAGTCACATTCAATAAATTTGGACTGCGAATTCTGAAACATGAATCTCTCACTCTCTCTCATCCTTTATAGTTACATTCAATAAATGTGGACTGCGAATTCTGAAACCTGAATCTCGCACTCTCTGTCATCTCCTTGGTGTTTTAATTTACAGTTAATTAGCTATCTTCTCTTTCTCCCTCCTTCGATATTTCAGTCAACTAATTTAGTTGGCAGCACGTCGTTTGAAATTAAAGGACGAAACATGAAAAGAAGAGTGAGAATCTTTTGCTCCTTATGGAACGCAGTATAATTTTTTTTAAATTACTAGGGCTGTCAGCCGGCTGGCCAGCCCCACCCTAGCCAATCCTGATCCCTATACCCGAAAAGGGCTAAAGAGGCCATAGGGCGAGGCCAAATGGAAAAAGATGAAAAAATAAAAGAAAAATATAAAGGATAAAATGGTCAGGCCGGACGGGTCTAGACAGCCTAGCCTCTGGCTCGGCTGAGGCCCTAATTTTTTGGGCCAGGTTGGGCCACTCGGCCCATTGCCACCCCTAATGAATGTTTATGAATATTTATAGAATTTCAAATTTAGAGGTGTGACCTACTTAATCTAATTGACTTAATAAAAAAAGGAATTTTTAATACAAATCCTAGAAGTGCATGAAAAAATTCACACCTTAAAATTGCATAATAACGGTCTAATTTTTATGAGTTAGACGTGGGAGTCTGATACCAATGCTCAAATGAATGAGCTACAGCTCAATGATCGGTGCACGTCAATGCCCCGTCCAAATCGATTTTCGGCGGTCCCTTTATGGATCTATAACCTAGCGGCCCATTTGGTTATGTAGAAATGGGTTTATCTGAAATGCGTTTACATGGATAATGGGCATTTCTGCAGTTGGAATGGATAACGGGCGTTTCTGCAGTTGGGATGCGGTTAAGAGATGAGATTTTAATCTTTGCATGGGTAACGGTATCCATGTTTTGAGGCAACTTAGAGATGTGTATTCCACCAAAATAATAATAAAATTATTATTATTATGAAAAATGTTATATAGGGTTGTAACCTTAAAGCAATGGTTTAAAAACTGGATCGGTGACCCGGATCGGGCTTTTCAAAAACC